TGGGTTTAATCCCAAGGGTTTTAAACTGCATGTTTAAAACGCCTTTATATGCTGGCACCCTGCTGAAGCCAGTGACCTTCAAATTATTAAGATGCCTTTTAACTACTGAAAAGGCATGAATCATTTCTCGGTTTTTCAGCTAGTCCTTAGCAGAATTTTTTTTTGTAATATTCTTATTAGGAAGTTAGATTTTTCTAATTTCCAGAACAAGGGTTCTATAAGGACATTTGCACTTGGCATTATGCACATCTGGAAAACTCCTTCAGTATGCTTCTACAACTAGCAAATTTCTGATGAGCTAATTCCTAATTCTTAGAAAGGATATGTACAGAATAACTCCAAAAGAATAATACTGTCATTTATAGATGAGCTGTAGAAACTGCTTTGTCAATGACAGTAACAAAAGTACTACTTGAGTTTATTACTTCAAAACAATATCCTTACCAGGTCTTAAAAAGTACTTGTAGACGGGAGGTGTAATTTGGTTCTTAAAGAAGTGACATTTGTGAGCACATCTGAAACTGAGAAGATGCAAAGTTTATAAGGGGACTGATAGTGGGGTTGTGGCTTTCCATTACTCCTTATCCTTATTCACAGAGCACGGGTGGTGTAGTATGTAGAGTTGTGTTACTAGCCTAAAGGTGGCTGGTTTGAATCCACCGTCAGTTCTGCAGGAGAAAACCCTGCTAGCAGGTCAGCTGTGAGTCAGCTCTGACTGAGTGGCAATGAGTTTTAGGAGTCCCACAGTAAATCATCTGCCGTGGAACATTTACTTTTGGAAAAACTGTGAGTAAAAACCAGGAACAATCAAAGGCCTTTTCAGTCTCCTGAAAAAGTTAAGAGTTTAATTTTTCTGGAAAATAGAAGATTCTACATTCCCCATACATTCTCTATGAAACAGGCACTTAACTATACTTAAAGGTCTTCTTGATCACAAAGAATGGCTATCACCACGTAGCACTTTGAATCTAACCTCAGACAATCCCAGCACTGGCCCTACCATTCCTTCAGCTATGTAACCTTGGGCAGTTAAGCTAATGTCTCCGAGCATCACTTTCTTTAGCTGTAAAGTTGCTATATTAACTGCACTTGTCTCTATAGGACTATAGTGAAAAAGAGAACATTTAGCTGGGTTAATAATACCAAAAATTAGTCATGCTGTCTAGTCAAAACTGACTCTTAACTGACTCTCCAGCCAGTTTGTGGAGGCTGTTGATGGCAATGTATGATTCTGATTTCCTCTATATCCATGTCCCATGAGACTGGGTTAACTCTGAGGCCATGACAGCCAGACCTGGCCTCTGCTCTTGCTTTACAACCACTGCTGGCCGCTTAACCTCACCTCTGCACAGGTGACCTGCCCTGCCATCACCTGTGTGCACCGAGGAAGGGGCACTGAGGGGACATAAAGTGTTAATACAGTTGATGTGGGGTCTTGTGGGCACCATGGGCCATGTCTCAGGGCTTCTGACCAGAGTCTGAAATATCTCTGCTGTCCACAGGGGTTTAGAACCAGGGTCACTTCCTCCTTGTCCCTGCAGGCAGCCCACTTTTCAGACACTGACTGCCTGGCCTCAGCCTCCTGGAGGCCATCAGGACCTAGTGGGCAGCCATATTCCCCACCAGCCCTACTCCAGTCTTACCCCTGCCTCATCCAGCATCCAAACACCACAGAGGGACAGAGTTCTCCCCTCACGGGTGGTAAAGCACTATGCCATACGAATGCCCTTTCTACACGCACATGGCATCCACCTGTCAGGGACCCCATCTGGAACTTTAAGGTTTGTTACCATCACATGTTTCTTACAAATGTGCAAAAACTGCTGAGATATTTTTTGCTATTGTTATAAATGCAAAATTTCAGATAACAAGAGGGTCAGTAAGTGAAGAATATGTGTAACTCATTTTACAAATGTGTTATGACATGTCTTGAAGAGTCCACTGGAGGAAGAGAGGTACTGTGAGTTTCTCAATCAACGGATAATTTACATAATTTTTTTTCTCTGTACTTATACGAAGGACCTGTACTTATAAGGAAGACCTGAAGTGCTTGCTGCAGAGGGTCAAGGACTGCAGCCTTCAATATGATTGAGGCTCAATGTCAAGAAGACAAAGATTCTCACCACTGGGCCAACTGGAAGCATCAGGATGGATGGCGAAGAGATTGAGATTAACAACTTTAGTTTGCTTGGTTCCACAGTCAATACTCTTTAGCACCAGCAGCCAGAAAATTAAAAGACATATTGAAATGGGAAAGTCTGCTGTTAGGGACCTCTCCAAAGTAGTGAAGAGCAATGGTGACACTCTGGAGACTAAGGCGTGTCTGATACAGGCCATGGTCTTTGCAATCACTTGTTACACGTCAGAGAGTTGGACAATGACTAAGGAGGATAGAAGAAGAACTGATGCCTTTGAGTGTGGTGCTGGAGAAGAGTATTGAGGGTACCATAGACTGCTAAGAAAACAAACAGACTCATCCAGGAGAGGGTTAAACCAGGCTGCTCCTTGGAGGCAAGGATTCTGAGGCTTCGTCTGACATACTCTGGACATGTTGTACGGAGGGACTGGTCCTTGGAGAGGGACATCATGCTTGAGGGGTGGAGGGCAGGCGCAGGAGGGGAAGACCCTCTATGAGGTGGATTGATTCAGTGACTGGGGTAATCGGGATGGGTGTGTCAGAGACAGTGTGATTGGCACAGGACAGAGCAGGGTTTAGGGCTGTTGTACATAGGGGTCGCTATGAGTCGCAGGCAACTCGATAGGACGTAACAACAACAACAACTTATACGAAACATAGATTTAAAAGAGAGAAAAACAGACAAGTAAGGAGATGCCTTTGGGTAATGGTATTTGTTCTAGATGATTAAACAGGCAGCTGTGAAATGAAGCAGGAAGCTTCCAAAAGTGTTTCTGCTTTAAGACACCTACTCAAAAGGGGTGATAAGGTGGCCCAAACCATGTCATTTCCTGAGGATTCCAAGTGAGGTGGAAGAAGAGCCCTGGGAGGTGGCCCTCTCCAAGAGGATGTGGGGCAGTTTTACCCGCTGCACCATGCTAGTTCTCTCAATGAGACCACTGAGGTTAATGATGCCATGTTTTGGAAGGGGCAGTCACACATGCTGATATGTGATCTTTGTGGCTGTCTCATCTGGTCAGCAGGGCAGGCTCCCTGATCATTTTACAAGTTCTGAAATGAAGACCCTGAACTGTGAAAGCATTAACCAAAAGTGCTCATAACTAGTAAAGAGAGGTGAGGTGAGATTCTGGGTTTTCTGATTCTTAACTCAGTGGTAGAAGGGAAAAAAAAAAAGCCAGCTCGCTCAAGAAGCACTTTACCATTTATTTCCATTTAACCTTTCAAAATGGATTTTAATTGCCCAGCTACTTAGTACCTATGTTTGTCAGATGGGTAAGTTAATAGTTACAAGAGGCAAGAGAGGCTCCCAGGCATTACCAGACATAAAAAGTACTCTAAGTGATCCAGAAAAGAAGAATTTACACATGCTATTATGCAAATCCTACAAACATGTAGATTCAACAAAACCACTTCTTCTATCCTAATGAAAGAATGATTCCTGCCCTTCCTCTCCTCTCAAAGGCAAAGTACCATTTCCTCCACCTCTGAGTGGGGTAAGGTTGGTGGGGAAGGACCCTCAGTCATACAAAATATACCCCTTCTGTATGCAAATCAGTTAGCAGCCACACAGTGGTCCAACAGGAACTTAATCAGAGACTCTGCTGTTACTCTTCTTGGTTTTGTGTAGTAGGTTTTAGGGAAGTGAGGTAAGCTGATCAGAATGACAAATTCTAGAAATATCTCATGGCTTAACACTCACATGAAGGACTAAGTAGAGTCTTTTACCCATAACTGTACACAATGAGCTGCATATGTTAGCTAACAATGGGAGCAATCCTTCCTGGCACCCAGAGCCCAAGTGGGCTGCTGAGCACCACACGCAGGGTTTTTTCTGGAAGATGTGCTGGCAACTCGCATCCACCCATTCATTCACTCATTCAACTAACAGTTACAGAGAACCTATTCCGTGCTGGGGGCGACTGTACCCCTGAATGAGAGAGGCTCTTATTCTGGGTATTCTCTCTCTCTCTCTCATATAGTGTGTGTGTGTGTGTGTGTGTGTGTGTGTGTGTGTGTGTAAAAGTATAGTATATCAGGTGATGAAACACATTGTGGAGAATAAGTAGGCAAGGGAAGATAGGGAAACCTGCATGTGTGGAGGGTGGTACTACAGAAAAAGCAGTACCTTTGTGTACAAACGAATAATTATTTCAGAAGGATGACTGTGTAGATCTGAAGACAGGTATTCAGAAATACATAATAGAACTCAGAAGTAAAAGAGAGGTTAAAACATGGAATAAGTGTAAGGACCTCCAGGCAAATTGGTGGTTCTCATCTTCAAACCGTACATCTTACTATAACTCATCTACTGCTGAACTTCTGCCTGCTGCATACATTACAGTGTCATCCACCCATCACAATCATTAAACCAGCAGAGCATTTTTATCTCTTTAACTCAAAGACAAAAGATATCTACTTTAGATACATAAAGAGTCAGAAGGCACCAACCACAAACATTCTAAGAACCCAAACTTCCAAACGAAGATATTTTCAGAGGAAGAAATCTTAAGCGAAAACGTCTTTTAAAAAAAAAGGATTAGGAATAAGCATATATTGTCAAAATGAAACTTAGTCCAAGAAGACTGTAAATATTTTTTTTTAAAATCCCTCCCTCCCTGGGCTCCTTCTTTGCATGTGAAACTACTTCAACTCATAACTGTTTGCTCCTCTTCAGGCAGATTCTATTACTCTCTAGATCTGTAAAGGAGCAAAGACTCCACCAAATTACCGTCGTTAAGACTCTCTCAGGCTGGGCACACTTGAAAGGCTGTAGAAACAATATTTTGTCATGGCTGTCGCATATAACCAAGAACAAAGAGGAAAACAATCAGCCTGCTGGAGATAGGGATGGTGTCTTACTTACCCGGAATAGGAATAATAGGAATACTTTCATTGGGGACCACCCGAGGTGAACTGCTATCTTCCACATAGAAATGAGCGGTCTGAAAACATTTTCTGTGTAGGAAAGAGGAAAAAAACATGCAACAGTGAGTCTGGAGAATTGCACTTTGTCTGAGCTCATTACTTCCAATCTTCCTTTTCCAGCTTTCATATTTCAAAAGTAAGATCTACTTTACTGGAAGACCCCAAAGAGCTTAAAAAGAACAAAAACCCACAAACTTTTTTATTGTCCCATTTCCAACTTGCTAGTTAAGAGGGAAAGGCTTAAAAATGAACTGCTCAAATGCATGAAAACTTGGCAGGGACAGAGTCAATTCACTGCATTAATTGCTAGGATTAGCCAGTAATATTTCTCAGTTTTACAAGTTATAGATGGAAGAATTTGCTATTTGAAAGCCCCATACCAAGTTCACAACCACATCTCTAACCCCCAAATGTAGTCATCACGGCCCAACAACACCCTATCACCACTTTTTTAGGTGCTGGGCAAAGGTCTGAGAAAAAGACAGTTTGTTAAAGGGGTCAGGGAGCTTCAAGGGGAGAAGCATTAAGAAGGAGAGGGCCCTGGCAGACCACCTCTGGTACAAGGACCAGAGGCTCTGTCTGTGTCTTCGGGTTTTACCTGTACTTAAGGCAAAGAAAGGAGCAAACACCGGTCATCATGGGACTGGCCGTGAACAGAAAAGCCATCAGCAGCTCCCTCAGCTTCTGACTGCTGGTGCTGGCCAGCTCTCTGCTTTCCAGGCTCCACGTCACTGCTCATTGCGGCCTTAATGAGCTGCCGGAAGCACAGGCTGAATATTTAATGAGGCTGCTCAGCGTGAATGGCTATTGTGATCAGAGAAGGGTCCCTGTTCATCTGGCGGAGGGGCTTTACAATAGCTGGCCCCACTGCTGGGTCTTTGAGCCAAGCAGGCGGCATCCTTCTGGCACTCCGTGTCACTGGCTTCATCCCACCAAGCTGCATTTACACGCACTACAGAGTTGCTTTGGCTAGGGGGTGGTATTTCAACAGCTCACATCAACTTCTCCTCTGAGGTGTGTTTGTTCATGTAACCAAAAGGATCCTGGGATGATTCTGCTGGCCATATCGTGCTTCTATGGGGCAGGGTGGCAGAAAAAGCAAGGAACTCTACAAATCAGACAGACCTCTGTGGGGGGTGATATCTCAGAGTCACTGGGACTGGTCCAGCTCAGCTTTACATAGAACCACCATAGCCAGATGCAGTCCAGAAATGATCACTTCAGAGGATGTAGCAGTTTATGTGGATGGAGCATAACTCCAACCAGCTGACCATCTGGGCCCTGTCTGGGGGCTAGCACCCGCTGGGATTGCTGCTCCCAACTGCTAGGGGATTCAGAACATGAAGAGCTCCAACTCTTGGCATAAGTCTCACATGACCAGTCTTGCAGAACAGTCTACATCCTAAAAATTGCCTAGCATTTTCATAAAATACACTGTCATCAATACTGAATCACATTTCCCCAAATTTGGGAGAAATGTCAGTCAGACAAAAGTGACATAGGAATAGGAAATGTACATGGAAGCTGGGAGGCTTGATAATAACTGTACCTTCAACCGAAGGTAAAATAATCTATGCGAGAAAGGGGATTCAGATATCAGGGTAACATCTTCTTCCATTTTTAAGTTTTTCAAAGTTTCTAGTCTTGGGTTCACCCCACCACTCCATATCCTCCAAGTTTACACGGATACCCATAATGTCATGTTCAAATCACTTTGAAGGATGAGAATTTCACAAGGGAGCCACGCTCTTAACCCCTGAGCTAAGGAGAATCTGCTTTCACTGACATCAGACCACACAAGAATTTAGTAGCCTCAAACAAACCTTCTACATCACTGAAATGAATGACAGCTGGTTTACCAAGTTAGTCTTTAAGAAACTTAAAAAACAAATAAGGAAACATATCTTCTTTTGGGGGCCATAATTGGATTGTAGAATAGAACACCATTAGTCAAAATATTTGTTTCTGGCCACAAAATTAGGTGGTTTGGTAAAGGCAGATTATACTCAGAGTTTTGGTGTTTTTGTTTTTTTTTCTGGAAGAAGACAGATTATCCAGTCTCTCAGCTACAATGGCCTAAATAAATGCCCTATATTATTTTTGAAGACAAGGGTGTGTATTAAAAGAAATGACACAAACATCTCATGTGCTACTGTGTATAATGGATCTTTCCTAGAGTCAGAGCTCTGTAATTGCTGGACAGCAACTCAACACTGGGTCTGAGAATCAGCACCCAGGAGACAAAGCCCTGGGTAAATCCTGTACCTTGAAATGCAGTCATACGCTTCCTCCCAGCAAAGACCTGGGTGGGCAGCTAACCTTGAACTTTGGGTGGAACACTTCCTTTGCATAAAGGGCTCAACAGATTGAGCAAACATTGATTCAGTTCTCACAGTTTAGCAGGCACAAAGCTAGGTATACTGAGTGATGTATGTTCTGCAAATTGCCCAGAATCATTAAAAGCGCTTCCACGAATCCAGTTGAGCATTTGCGTACTTTGTAAAGAACCACACAAATAAAGCGGACAGAGCAGTTTTCCTCTGAGGTATCTAGGGTCCTCATGAGTAGGAACTGACTCACTGGCAAATGGGAAGGATGAACCAGGCACCAACCAAGGTTTCAGGGTGTTGACCACCTCCACTTCTCACCAACCTGGGAGGAACCCACTGCATGCAAATTCTCTGTTGTGGGTTTAATACTCAAGCATCTGGTTCAGAGTTGCTATCACCTGACTTTGTATTTTAACTTCCCTATTTCAGAGCTATCTCAATGATGGCTTTTGTTTCCTGGCTTTCAATGGTTCTAGGAATACAAACATAAAGGCAAGAATTTGGAAGGAAAAGGAGGAGGGGAAAAAAGCCCATACACTTTAATGTCTCTAAACTTTTCAACTGTGGTCCATCTGAACAGACAGTATTGTCTGTAACTTTGAGCTCAGGGGAATGGACAGAGAGAGAATTTCTGGAAATGCTCAACTGTGTCACTAAGCATGCAATTCCAATCTTCCATCCAGGTCCAATTCTCTTTCAACTCATTTACTCCTTAAAAACATCCATCCCTGAATGACATAGATTCTAGGGTCCTAAAGAGTCATTGTCTAAAACAGTATTTTAAAAAATAATTAATGTTTGTTTACTTAAGTGCCTTTTAAAAAAAAAGTAAAAAAGAAAAGTCATGCTTGGAATGAAAAATATATTCAACTACAAATTATAATAACTGGGAAGATTCCCGTCTCCTTGCCTGCCCACTCCCCCACCACTCCTCCAGAGCTGTATGTCCCCTTTAAGAACTGAGATAGTCAGATAACGATTTATTTTTCCAGTGACCCCGACTGGCCTTCTAATGACCCACACTGGCTGTCTTCTATGTCCTCTAATTAACATTTGTATGTAGTTTCTTGACATTTCCTGTTTCCAATTTAGGTACACCTTGCCGTTGTGGGGAATCCTGAAGTCTCATCAGTAAAGTTTTTGCCAAATGGTGGTTATTAAACAGCAGTGTTTATGGCTGGGCCTGGGGGTGTGTAAGAATACCCACAATGCATAAGCCCCACTCTGGGTGAGGCCAGCAGGGCTGACTGGGTGTGTGGGGGGGTGTATTCTGAGAATCATGTTATGAACCTGCTGGTTGCTTGGCTGGTTGTATTTCTTACATGCTTTGCACAGTGTAAAGATTACAGGCGTTTTCAACACTGAGCCCGTTTGCCATACAACCAAGATGCCCAGCCAGCAGGTTAGATCTATCAGTATCTCAAAGAGAGGTCTACAGTAGCAAAATGGTTCAAATGGTCTATATTACTTGCCACTCACTCATTCTTTTTTAAAGAAAAAAAAATCAATGTGGTTTTATGCATTTGAAAAACATTTAAAAAATAATTTTGCATGGAAACCAGTAAGATAAGGTGTGATATCCGTTGTAAGCCCACTGCCGTTAAGCTCAGCTCAACTCACAGCAACCTGAAATTCAGTTTCCAACACTGTACACCTTCTCCAACAGTGCTGTTAGAGGACTCAACCTCATGACCTTTCAGGGGTCAGCACAACATGTAATGACCTATGTCACCAGCTCTAATTTCAATTGCTGATCATATCTGTGAATTGTCTGTGAAGCAGCTTCCTTGGCTTTGAACTTGCAACCTAGGAAGTGTGTCCTCAGTCTGCGAGGCCTCACACTGGCGTGTATCTAAGAGTCTGGCTTCTAAGAGGCACTTGTGGCTTACCGTCACAAACATTTGATATTATGTACAGATTTCTAAAATTTACTTTTTATTTATTCAAATAAAGGAGATCTTTTAAGGACAGAAATCTTTTTTAAGAAAATAAAAGAGGCTGCTCTTGAGAAAGCAATGTGTTTCTTCTAGTCAGGATCCAGCAAACAATGAAAAGTATCAATAAGCTGACAATTTTAATTCCCTGAGTTCCCACTGAAACACACTCTTGTCAGCACATGACAGGCCTGGGGAGTTTAATTGGCTCTCTTGACGAATGAAGCACATGTGTGGGGTCACGGTCACTCACACACACACACACACACACACACACACACACACACACTCACTCTCTCTCTCTCTCTTTAGCTGTTCTGACAGTGCTTCAGAATCATTTATACTGAAGTTCTAGAAACTTCCTATTCAAACAAAACATATCAAATGCCCAAGAAAGACAAGAACTTCTGGGTCCTACCCCTCAACACCCTGCCACCTGCTTCCAGGAATTAGGACATACTCCGAAAGCAGCATAGGCAGCATGGGTGAACGTCTATACAAAACCTTTGTTTCCTGCTGCTCCAGTTCTTAGTTCCTGGTCAGCCAGCCTCTGGGAGACCCTAATAATTTTCTTACTTTGATCCCACTTAGCCCCTCTGATAAAAACCTGGATCTTCTGATAGGAATAAAGTAGCCGACCAATACATTTCCAAAGTAAAATGTTGAGTCAGACTGCAGAAACAACAGACGCTGGAGATGTCTGGAATTCCACTTTGTGGTGCTACGTATGAAAAGGTCAAACCATTTACCGCCACCCCGCCAGGCC